GGGAATTTACTACATGAGTAAGTTAATGAAGGAAAAATTTAGGTAGAAGAGTGTTTACAGTGTATCTGGAAGGAGAGATCGTCAAATTCTCCCTATATTGAAAGTGAGTCACTTTCTTTTTCCTTAAAAGAAAAAAGTTGTCAGCAGGCTAAAATTTTACACCTTTTAAAGTTTAAGTTTGGAGAAGAATTGAAATCATAAATATTTCGAATCATTAGACTGTAAAAAATTTTCACTTGCATACAGTAACACCCAGAAAGGGCTGCCTTTTTAAGTGATGATGAAATCACCTCCCAGCCCATACATAATATCATACTCTACTTGACCATGGTGAAAAGATGAATCCTTTTGTTACATGTTATTTTAACTCATGATTTAAAGCTACACTTCCAAGCAATTCAAAATTGTTCAGTCTTAAACAAATAACATGACGACACACTCTCACATGAACTTGGAGAAATGTAGATTTTGAAATTACATTCTATCCCCTCGATTCTGTTTAATTACCCTCTATCAATATTGCAGTAATCACATCAACACAATTCATGCAAATACAAGTCTCCATTCTCTCCATTTGTCCTTAAAAGCCCCCACTCAGCAGTTTGTGCTATAGCACCCTGCTGCAGCATCCCTGCACTTGAACTTGGGAATAGGCTTTCCAGGACTGCAGGCAGAGCCCTTACCGCATTCCTTTTGAACCTCATCTTGCTTCTCGGGGGATTTGCTTCTGCCATCTCGCCTATACACAATTAGGCTCTTCTTTTCCAATAGTCAATGCAACATTGATGAAATATGAGCTGCTTCTTGGGTAGTATTTAAAAACGGCAGCCAAAAATCTCTATCAGACAAAGCTAGCGTAGCTGCTTCCATTACCACCGTGGCAGTGCTGCAAAAAATCCACTATCCCTGATTAGTCAGCTGACAGATCCTTTCCTGCCGCTCATTGTAATTCAGAGTGGACGCATTCCCCCAATTACTTAGCCTGATTGAACCTTGTGGATTAGCTTGTGCTGGACTGCTCAAGAAGATCAGGCATGTCCAAAGAGTGAAGGAAGGAAAAAAACCAACTCTCCTCCTAGTAGCAGTCCTGATGGGACTGGCTTTCTCCTCTACGCAGTTCGATTTTTAAGGTGGAATGCTAAGAATCTTTGTGAAGGCAGTACCAACTGATCATTTTTACTCTTATCATACCCTGATCTGTGACCTAAATTTCAATTCTGTTAGGTTATTAAATTCGATTCTGGGTTTAAGCCCTGTGAAACATTACAATTTGTCAAATTTTGTCCTGATAATAATCTAGAAAGAATAGAACATGCAAACTTTTCAAGATGGATGAGATTCTCTCCCAAATTAACCCTCTACAAAATGTATAACTAAAAACAAAGTCTCCTCTCATTAATTATCAAGTATAACGTAGCTGCTTTCATTTCTTTTGGCATCTACAAATAAAGGTCTTCAAATTGAAATGTGTGATTATTTCACAGACGCTTGTGTAAAATAATAACCACAGACAATTAGACCTAGCTACGCAATGACAACAGCTTTCACCAGAAATTCTTTCTGAATGCTAACTTGTGCACGTAACCTTTCCTAGGTGCATACATCAATGTGACTGAAATTAGCTTATAGTGAATATTTATCTTTATTACAAATAGTGCCCAACAGCTATTAATGGTTGAGATATAATTAATGTACTCTTGAATATGAGTATAGAAACTATACCACAGGCAAAAAAATTTAATATGTTAAAAAGAAACAACACATATTAGCCAGGTCTTGTGGCAGGCACCTATAGTCCCAGCTACTCAGGAGGCGGAGACAAGAGGATTGCTCGAGCCCAAAGAGTTTGAGGTTGCTATGAGCTGTGATGCTACAGCACTCTGAGAGCAACATAGTGAGACTCTGTCTCAAAAAAAAAAAAAAAAGGGGGGCGGCGCCTGTGGCTGTAAGGAGTAGGGTGGCGTCCCCCTATACCGGAGGTGGTGAGTTCAAGCCCAGCCTCGGAAAAAAACTGCAAAAAAAAAGAAAAGAACGAAACAGCACATAAAACAACCTATAACCAGTTACATGTCATCAGCACCTGTACCCCTATCCTTGTCCAGTGCCATCACTTTGGCAGTTATGAGATAAAGGGACCCTAAGCTCTGAGCTCTTTACTAAGCACAGTTCATACTTCCCCACTGAGAAAGCAGCCCCAGGAAAACAGAAAGGGGAGTATCACTCCCCAGGAAACAACTCATTAGCCCTCTGTTGACCACAAATTGAAAAGATCAAGATGTAATCTTCTATTTCTCTTTCATGAAAAATAAGACTTCTGATAGAAGCAACCTATGTGATTAATTACAATGAAATTCTACCAAAAAACTGATGCCATGTGCCAACAGTCACACAATGAAAATTAATCAAGCAGGTACAGTGTTATCCAAAAGAAAAAAGGCTGGGCAATAGAAAATGTTTGTTCGCTTCCAGCCACTTCTCTACTTAGTATAAAAAATATCAGTTATTGGCATAAAGCAAGCAAGCAAGGTCTACTCAATGAGCCCAAGGACAAATCCTAAAAAGTCAGAGCAAGGAAAATAGCTTTTAATTTTTTAGCCTCACTGATAGGACTCAATAGTACATGGAGGGAAGGTTTACTCTCTCAAAAGGAATTCTATCCATTTCAAAAGACATCAAATGTCTTCATTTAGTCCTAAACTAGAAAATGATAGACAACAACATCAACTGGAATTCATAAAATTTAACCTCTTGTTTTGGCTCTTTCACCTTGGATTTGTCACTTAACCTTTCCCACGTGCATATATCAACATAATTAATTATCTATATGGCAATTATAGTGATACCTGTCTGCAGTACTTAATCAGGAAATCAAGATCAGTGAATAAATGTGAAAACTTTGTAAAAATCAAAAATATAGGGAGGCCAGATGCGGTAGCTCACACCTATAATCCTAGCACTCTGGGAGGCTGAGGCAGGTGGATTGCCTGAGCTCAGGAGCTCAGAGACCAACCTGAGCAAGAGCGAAACCCCCTCTCTACTAAAAATAGAAAAAGTAGCTGGGCATTATGGTGGGTACCTGTAATCCCAGTTACTCAGGAGGTGGAGACAAGAGGATCACTTGAGCTCAAAAGAGTTTGAGGTTGCTATGAGCTGTGATGCTACAGCACTCAACCCCAGGGCCACTGAATGAGACTCAGTCTCAGAAAAAAAAAAAAAATCAGGGTGGTACCTGTAGCCAAGTGGTTAGGGAGTTGGCCACATACACCCAGTCTGGTGGGTTCAAACCTGGCCGGGCAAGCTAAACAAAAATGACAACTGCGATAACAAAAAACAAAAAAATAGCCAGGCACTGTGGCAAGTGCCTGTAGTCCCAGCTACTTGGGAGGCTAGGGCAAGAGAATCACTTGAGCCCAAGAGTTTGAGGTTGCTGTGATCTATAACACCATAGCACTCTACCAAGGGTGACAAAGTGAGACTCTGTCTCAAAAAAAAAAAAAAATATATATATATATATATAATACAATATCAAAGATTTGCATTTTATTTTTGAGATAGTTTCACTCTGTCACCCTGGGTAGAATGCTGTGGCATCATCATAGCTCACAGCAACCTCAAACTCTTGGCTCAACCTATCCTCTTGCCTCAGCCTCCCAATAGCTAGGATTACAGACACCAACCACAATGCCCAGGACATTTTTCTGTTTTTAGTAGAGACAAGTCTCACTGTCACTAGGCTGGTCTCAAACTCCTGAGCTCAAGCAATCCACCTGACTCAGCCTCCTAAAATGCTAGAATTACAAGCGTGAGCCATGGCGCCCGGCCTTTTGCTATTTTGTCTTAGTAACTTGTGTGAATGTGAAGTTAACTTTCTGTACTCTGTTGATGATTAAATATCTCTGTTAAACAAATAAACATGAAACCATTTTGCTGAGGAATAATTCATGCTGCGTATAAAAAGAATAATGATCTCATTCATTTCACCATGCAAGTGCTATTTTATTTCTTATGCTTGTTGATAAGATAGTATAGCAAAAAGAACATTGGCTCTAACAATCCAGAGTTTTGTCTTGCCTTTGCAACTAAACCAACTAACTTCTTCTGGTGGAAATGGTCTCCTGAACCAGTAGGGAGACAATGTAAGAATTTCAGGTGGCTGGTGATGTTGAAATTACAAAGAAAAAAATACATTTAATTTCCAGCTACTCTGGTCTGATAAAGTTGGCAACATGGTACTTTCATAGACAGCCCCGATCTTGCCAGCTCAGAAGGAATCTGTGGGTTTTGCATCTCTTTCATCTTCTTTGAAAGCGAGGTGTCAAACACTGTCACTACATCCTGGTGAGCCTAATAATGTAAAGGGTCATCTTGGCTATGGGTAGGATTGTATCTCTAATATTGTTTTCTTTAAGGAAACTGCTTGTCTCTCCAAGTCTTCAGAAGCTGGAGACTAGATTCCAGAAGGGGAGATCTGTTATTTTATAAAAAGAGATTCACCACCCTAACCTATTCTAGGGGAGGAAAGTCCGTACACAGATGCCCACCAAAATGTTAAAAAGTCCTTATTTGAGGTGTCTGGATAAGTGAATATTGTTGTATACTTTCTTCCTTATGCTTTTCCATATACAACGAGTACAAAATACAGCTATTTTCATTTTTAAAAAATTCCCATAATTTTTTTCCTTACTCTGAAAGGCATATAGAACCATGAGTCACTTCTCACTTATAACTCAAACCACTAACTGCTCATAATTTTCCAATGGGTTTTATTTTGGGTGCAGTTTTTAAACTCAGTCTCTACTACAAAGTCTTCTACCATCCCATCTATTTTTATTGTCTCCATCCATATCAAACTAACTTGTTGATAAGATAGTATAGCAAAAAGAACATTGGCTCTAACAATCCAGAGTTTTGTCTTGCCTTTGAAACTAAACCAACCTCAAAAAAGATAGTATAATGTAAAACAAAAATAAGAAGTTACTGTAGAATGCATAGGTACTTACTGAAATTTTTTGGAGAGAAATTTTGAGAGAAGACCATGTATCCAATCTTCGATCCAGAATAATGGTAAACCGAGAGTCAGATCCATTTTGCCTGTAAGATAAGAGGAAGAAGTTTTTCTTAGTTATGACCAAACTTTGATATATATGTTTTCACTCTATTTCTGATTATTTATCTACATTTGATGTTTTGACTTAAGACAGATTTGGACTTGGAAAGCTATCATAAAATGCTATCTTAGAAAACCATTTCATTCCATATTCCCTACTCACTATTTAATTTTTTTTTTTTTGAGACAGAGTCTCACTCTGTTAGTAGAGTGCCATGGCGTTACAGCTCACAGCAACCTCAGACTCTTGGGCTTACGTAATTCTCTTGCCTCAGCCTCCCAAGTAGCTGGGATTACAGGCACCCACCACAATGCCCAGCTATTTTTAGAGACAAGGTCTTGCTCTGGCTCAGGCTGGTCTCGAACCTGAGAGCTCAATCCACCCACCTTGGCCTCCCAAGTTCTGGGATTAGAAGTGTGAGCCACCATGCCCAGCTATTTAAAATTTCTTTTTCAGCACTATGGTCAATCTTTTAAATAGGGAAGTGATAGTCTAATGAAGATAGGTCACTAAAATGAATTTGGAATAGTGTAATCTTCGGTGTGAAAAAGCCTAAAAGACATCTGTCCTTTGTGACATCAAATTTAACTTTTCATGGCAATACATCTTGAGTCAATGATCCATTTATTCATTCAGAACACTGTTAAAAATATTTTTCTATCTCTAGTCTTATCTTTGGGGAAACGCAGTTTAGTGGACAATCTAAGTGTTATTTGCCCTTAAAAGATCATTTTCAAGCTTCAATGGGTATACTGTAAGTTTAGTTTTCTGTGATTTGATTTTTTGTTCATGAGTCTTCGAAGTTTACCATCCTAAAACAATCAACAAAGTGAAGAAACAACCCAGAGAATGAGATGAAATATTTGCAAACTATCCATCTGATAATAGATTACTAAGTAGAATATATAAGGAGCTTCAACAACAAAAGATCTGAATAGAAATTTTTCAACAGAAGACATACAAGTAGCCAGCAAGTATATGAATATGCTTGAGGTGATACGCTAATTACCCTGATTTGATTAATATAACTTGTATGCCTGTATCAAAACATCACATGTACTCTGTAAAATATACAACTATTGTGTACCCATACTAATTAAAACTAAAAAATTCAAAGTTTATCATCCTAGATTTGTGCCATCTTATTCTTCAGGATTGGTAACTGGAAAATGCTTTCTTAAAAATGTTTGTATTGGCTTGGCGCCTATAGCTCAACTGGCCAAGGCGCCAGCCACGTACACCTAAGGTGGCAGGTTCGAATCCCCAGCCTGGACCCGCCAAACAACAATGACGGCTGCAACCAAAAAATAGCCGGTCACTGTGGCGGGCACCTGTGGTCCCAGCTACTTGGGAGGCGGAGGCAGGAGACTCGCTTGAGCCCAGGAGTTGGAGGTTGCTCTAAGCTGTAATGCCACGGCACTCTACCCAGGGGGACAGCTTGAGGCTCTGTCTCAAAAAAAAAAAAAAATGTTTGTATTTAACATAAATGAAATCTCTAAGGAAGCTTTTGAAACTCTCTATTTTAAAGTGTTCTAGTTCAAAATAATTTCTAATATCATGACATTCATCCCAGCACCTCCCAATACCACTATTGAGTTTATTTAAGATTCAGTCTTCTTCTGTAATCTTCAGAAGAAATGAAAAATGGCTGTCCTCCCTCTTGGCCGGTAAGATTTCCTTTTAAGCAAATTAAAGTATTTATATATGAACATCAGTCTTAATTTATGCTAATTTTCATGGAGACAAATACTTCTAGACCTTCATTTTTTTTTCATGTATCTTTGCACCATTTTTATAGCCAGTTAGGTAGCCATAAGCTTCTCCCTCTACATTATATTTCTCATTTACTCTGAAGGTAAGTCTGATAATTTTTCGCAATAATAATAGGTATACTAACAAGACATTTTCCTGTTATGTCATTCAAATGGTTATCTGATACAAACCAAACTGAAAAATATAATGAAATGGTATACCTTGCAATAGATGTCAGGTAAGTGAGTACTTTTGCTATTACATCTTCTGGTATACATCTAAAATTACAGTTTTCTGGAAACGTAATGATCCAAGCATTGTCCTTTCCTCGGCCACCTAAAATAGTAGAACAAAATCAACTTGGTTAATAATTTACATAATAACAATTCAAGGAAGAGGATTTTTTTTTTTTTTTTGAGACAGAGTCTCAAGCTGTTGCCCTGGGTAGAATGCCATGGCGTCACAGCTCACAGCAACCTCAAACTCTTGGGCTTAAGTGAGTCTCTTGCCTCAGCCTCCCACATAATTGGGACTACAGGCGCCTAACACAACACCTCGCTATTTTTTAGTTGTAGTTGCCAGTGTTGTTTGGCAGGCCCAGGCTGGATTTGAACCCACCAGCTCTGATGTATGTGGCTGGCACCCTAGCTGCTTGAGCTACAGGCACCGAGCCAGGATTTTACTTTTGAGGGGGGTTGCCAGAGTACTATTTTGAGCCAGCAAAACTTTATAAGGATAATGATCGCCATATAAAGCACAATAGCATCAAGCTCCTGACATGTTTAAAAAGTGGCAGAGTGATTTCTAAATGAAAAAAGAAAAAAGAAAGAAGGTAAAATGAATGAATATAGTCAAAAGAAAATTTCACGGAATATCTGTAAAATATCAGCTGAAAAATAGCTGATTGGCCACATGCAGTGGCTCAGGCCTGTAATCCTAGCACTTTAGTAGGCCAAGGCAGGTGGATTGCCTGAGCTTAGGAGTCTGAGAATAGCCAGAGCGAGATTTAGACCCAGACTCCGTCTCTGCTAAAAACAGAAAAACTAGCTAGGCACTGTGGTGGGTACCTGTAGTCCCAGCTACTCGGAAGGCTGAGGCAAGAGGACTACTTGAGCCCAAGAGTTTGAGGTTGTTGTGAACTATGATGCAACACTCCACCCAGTAGGAGAGAATAAGACTCTACCTCAAGAAAAAAAAAAATGAAAGAAAAGATCATGAACCGGATTGGAATTGTCCAATTAAGATCATGTATAAAGTAAATGCATGTTTAGTAAACTGAACATGTAGGTGTTATTTGAGGAGAAATAATTAAACTACTTAAAGTGAGTAAGAGTTTGTTTTACTCTCAATACCTAAGCTCTTGTTTTCATAAAAACTACGTATATACTGTCAAAGCTTTCTTTAATAGATTAATAAATATTTGATGATATGGTTCAAATTATTCTAATACCTGAAAGTAATTTGTTTGCTCTTAAGAAAAACTTTCCGAGGGTGGGGGTGTCACAGATGTGACACATCTTTTGGAGGCAGGACATAATTACAAGGGGACTTTACCTAACAAATGCAGTCAGTGTAACCTGGTTCTTTGTATCCTCAATGAATCCCCAACCAAAAAAAGAAAAAGAAAAGCTTTTCCCAGAATCTGATCAGAAAGAAAAGGGGAGAGGTAGTTTATAAAAATACACAATGCTAATTAAAACCATTAGGACCATAATAGCCAAAAGGTAGAAACAATCCAAGCATACATCAATGGAGGACTGAATAAACAAAATGTGGTGTATACAGACAATGAGATATCATTCAGCCTTAAAAAGGAAGGCAGTTCTGAAAACCCTACAACATGAATGAATCTCAAGAATGTTACGCTGAGTCAAATAAGCCAGCCACAAAAAGACAAATGCAGCGTGATTCTGCTTATGTGGTACCTAAACTAGTCAAAATCACAGAGATGGAGAATAAAATGCTGGTTATCAGGGGCTGAGGGGAAGAGGGAGTGGAATAGGGAGTTGTTTCATGAGCACAGCGTTTCAGTTTTGCAAGATAAAATGAGCTCTGGACTCCGGAAGCTGAGGTAGGCAGATTGCTTGAGCTCAGGAGTTCAAGAGCAGCCTGAGCAAAAGTGAGACCCCCATCTCTACTAAAAATAGAAAAAAACAAACTAGCCAGGCATTGTAGCAGGTGCCCATAGTCCCAGCTACTCGGGAGGCCCAGAAAGATGGCTTGAGACCAAGAGTTTGAGGTTGCTGGGAGCTATAATAACTCTGTCTCAGAAAAAAAAAAAAAAAGAAAGAAAAGAAAAGAAAAAAAAGAGTTCTGGAGATGATGGTGGTGATGCTTGCACATAATTGTGAGTGTACTCAATGCCACTCAAGTGTGTTCTTAAAAATGGTTAAGATGGTAAATTGTATGTTGCAGGTACTTAATTACAGCTTTAAAAAATTATACACAAATGCATATACATATCTAAGAAAAATAAACTTTACCACATGTAAATGAAAAATGTTTCTAAAAACTTAGTGCATGCACCTAATTAAAGTGCCTTGCCAGTATTTGTAATAAACATTTGAGTAATCAGAACTATGACCGAAGCCACCTCAGCTGTCCCCCTTTCACCCAGCCTGCACCCACCTAGGAAACACATTGTACTTTCACTTACCATGGATTTCTGCCTACTTACCTGAAAGTCAAATGTACAAGAGTGGTAAGGTTGGTTTTCATAACATATGTAAACATGCTCAACAGCTCTAATTATTCTCTAAAGGTCCATTTGCTTAGCAATTAGTTGCACAGTATGTAAAGGCTGATTAAAATAATGCTTCTGCAGTTACTATAGAGAAAGCGAGCTATGTACATAATAAGCACCAAACTAACTCTGCTAATCAATTCATACATTTATAAATGAGAAAGTTGGCTTACCAGACAAAAAAGCGATGTCTTGCATTAAGAAATGACTGATGTCCTTTACTCGGAGGAACAGATCAGTTTCTGTGACAAACAAGAAAAGGAAGGAAACAATGTTCATGTTAAACGTAGCTAAAAAGAAACACAGGATTTCTCATTGTGCCAAAAAGGACACAATGGCTCCCGCAGATCTGGGTCCACAGACACACTGCTGGTCTCCTCTTCCCTTCTTTCAGCTACATGGCAATAAAATCACACTCTTAAAAAGATCACTGAATAAGTAGGACCCAGGACCTGCTTCTCAGAACCTATGCCCAAGACACAAACTAAGCTCACTCACCAGAAACTCAAGGGCGAAGACAAAAACACTAGGACGTCTCGAATTATCTGAAGAACAGATAGATGGTCATGTGGAGACACTGTAGCACATTGTCTTCTACTGCTCATAATGCTATCTATTCTACAAAGCTTTATTAGCAATTGCAAAGTGCTTTTTGCATCTTTTGTCTTATTGGAGCCATAAAGTAACACCGAGGTAGGTCCATTATATAGGCCAGGAAAAGACTCTGAGAGTCTTATGGTGCAGTGGTTAACCAAGTGGACTTCTGAGTTAAATAGACCTGGATTCTCATCCAGCTTGTTGCATTTATTGGCTATACAAGCATGGGCAAGTTACTTAGCCCCTCTGAGCCTTAGCTTCCTCAGCTATAAATTGTGCATAATGATATCTACCTCAAAGTTGCCATGCCAACTAAATGTAAAATACTTGGCATAGAGGTAGGTGTTCAATGAACAGTAGCATATTATCATTACATTGTTTATGAGGACAAATGGAACAACATCCACTCATTGTTCAGTATGTTTCAGTTGTCCCAGATCTTAAGTGTTATTATAATTTACAATTCCAGTGAACTCTACGGGGGTCAAAAATCAAAGTCCACCACCCACCTCTGGTCCATGAACAAGGATAACGTTTTAAAAGAAAATGAGTCATCGAACTAAGCTATTTTGGATCGTTGGCTTTAATGCCTGTGGTTCCACATCTCTTACCGAAGACATATTTTTCACTTGCTCTCTGATACAAAGTGCCTTCGAAGCTCTAATCTCTAGTGTTGTCAGGCTGATGATGCATTACCCTTGTCAGTGCTCCTCAAATCATAGCATATATACGTAGTTTATGAAGGCCAATTCTCCTCCAGGGAATTAAAAAAATTCTAAATGGGTCCACAGGAGACAGTGGAATAGCATATCTGTTATAAAATAAGCCTCCCACATTGGTTTGAAACATAACGCAATTAATTGACATTTTTATTTTCCTAAGATACATACCATTACAGATCTGCAATTTGTCAGGACATAAAAATCATTTCTTAAAAATATGTTGTTATTTTATATATGATTCTGACTCCTGATATATTCCAGACCAAGGCATACATGTTTACATTTGCAATTATTCTTTCAATGCTACATGCTCCCTCAGATAAAGGAATGTGTTTATAAAAGCTACAAACATGTGTCACACATGGACATTTTTAGGCACGAAGACATGAAGAAAGGGTAAGAATGAGGGTAATGCAAAAAGGACTAGAACTCTCTCTGCCCTCAGAAGCCTGCAAAAGTGAAAATGGCTAAAATGTGCTCTACCTTTTAAGCAAGAGAACATTAGATTTAAAAATATTCATACATAATAAGAGACTCAAATTTTTCTCCCTTGCTTTGATCAGTAGGAACACCTATCAAGATAAATTGATAGGTTTTATGGCAGATGGCAGATCTGAAGGTACTAATATGTGCAACTTGATTCCTCTCATACTATTCAGATTCTTCCATAGCGGTAGGAACTATGTCCATTTACTGTATGATTTAAACATTCAGGTAATACGAGAGACCTCGGAGCATAAGATAACAGATTGTGTTGGGCAGCACACGTAGCTCAGAGGGTAGGGCACCGGCCACATGCAGGAGACCTGGCGGGTTGGAACCCAGCTGGGGCCTGCTAAAAAACAACAAAAAAAAAAATAGCCAGGTATTGCGGTGGGCGCCTGTACTCCCAGCTACTGGGGAGGCTGAGGCAAGAGAATCACCTGAGCCACAAGAGTTTGAGATTGCTGTGAGCTGTGATGCCAGGGCACTCTACCAAGGGCAACAGAGTGAGCTCTGTCTCAAGAAATAAATAAATAAATAAATAAGGTTGTGGGCTGGGTGTGGGAGAACAAGGGCCCAGTGTGAGTTTGGCCACTGAGCTGCTCTGTAATCTTGAACAAGTCATTCCCCTCCTCGCCTTATCACCCCCATTTCAGAAGCGAGGACAGTACAGCCAATGCTTTCTACAGTGCCTTCCATTCTATGAGATTCAACATGCAAAATCCAAAGATATAAGCAAAATGTACTGAGCTTTTCTATCTTAAAATGTCACCCACAATTGTGCCAATAAAAATCATATTTCCATTCTAATGAAAATGGATGAAATAAAGATTAAAGATACTACTGCTTTAATAATCGAGTTTTAGCTTAGAAACGGGCTGAGAAGGAAGAGATAATGCAGGAAAGCAACAGAAGACACAGGTTATCACTGAGCAGCCACACAAAGGACGAGACGAAATTGCGGCTGAGAACAAAGAGAAACAGAGAGTACTGACTTCGGAGAAAGTTGTGACGCTGAGTTACACCCATCTTTGTATCTGACCCTCTTGAAATTCCAAACAGATCTCCTCCTGAAATATAAAAATGAGAACAAATAAAATTTATGATGTTCTTCTTACTAACCCTTTAAACTCTTGCTCTTAGAGCATGAGAAATAAAAAGCCTTGATCACCAAAGCTTGATCAAGTGTATGCATGTCCCCTATTGACCAGATTCAAATTGAATAGGAATTTTGTCAAGCTGTTCCAAGTGGAAAGTTTGATTACTCACAAAAAAAAAAGGCATGCTTACTTTTAACTAGTTACTAAGCCCAAAAAGGGCTGGCTGGGAAGCCAAATAAAGGACTGTACCCCAATAGGTAATCTGAAAAACACCCTTATAAAACACCACGATGGAGCAGGTCTTCATTTAAAAGCTCTGTGGAAAAACCATGTGCTTGTGCAATCAAACACAATGAGACACAAACTGAAAACAAAAGACGAACAAAGCGCTCACCCATTCATTCATTCCATGTAAATGATCAAGAAGCAAAAGTGTCAAGCTCTTACTGTTGTGACCCAAAATTGCAAACATATTTATTTTATATGTATATAATATGAAAGAGACTTCTGCAAATGAGGATATAAGTTCACAGTTCAAATATAAATTTTTAAAGTTCTAAAGGGGATGGAAATAAATGAACTATTTAAGATGGTTCACAGACAGAATGAAGGTATATCCATCTAGTCAGTTGCTGCATTTTGACTGTATCACTTGCAGAAAAGCACAGCCCATGTCACCTCCATAGAAAATGGACTTCAAAGTTTTTAAACATTTATTTTGCATTTACTCACTTTTTCTTTTTATTTTTTATTTTTTGCATTTTTTGGCTGGGGCCAGGTTTGAACCCACCACCTCCAGTATATGGGGCTAGCACCCTATTCCTTTGAGCCACAGGTAGCGCCCCATGCATTCACTCACTTTTTAAAAGAAATATTTATTGAGCATTTACTACATGCCAGATACTATTCTAAGCTGTGCTTGAACAGATTATCTGAGGTAAAGTAAAGGTTCATGATCAACTAGTTTCTTAAATATCGATGGCTAACCAAACTACAATATTTCCCAGGGGAATACACATGTACTCATTGTCTCTCTTTGGGTGTGGGCTAAGTATATAGAGTTCCCCAAACTTATTTGGTTGGGTATTCCTTTGATTAGTTGATTGGTTGGGTCCCCCCCCCCCAGAGAACAACAGAGAGAGAGCCACAAAGACTTCATATGAAGAAACACTTTGTTCTCAAACTCACAGCTATCTATAGATGAAATGATTGCCATGGAAGGCAGACAAGGCCTTTCCTATCACTAATAGTGCTTGACGAGGCCAAGCAGTTCCGTGGTAAGGATGGTATAGAGCTCAATGAAGCATAGACTTGATGATCTTCCACGTCCTTCTCTGAGGGTCTATGCCTCCGTGATTTCAGTGTATACTACCATTCAAGGGAATTTAAATTCTACTGAGTTTTTAATGACTCCTATGGGGAAAATGATAGTTTATGAAATTAAGTTAGTATCTACAAGCATTCCCATTTTATAGACAGCATTCTGTTTTTTTACTTCAGATCCTGGAATGTAACAGCAATAATTCTAACCCTTGAGATTTATTTCACAGTGACATTCACTCACGTCCATAAGCGCCCCCCCCACCCTTGGGGTTTCTGTTCATATACCAGAGAATAATACGAGTTGTGAACCAGGCTGCAAATAAACTGCATAGAAGGGCCAATGCCTCTATTCTCACATTTTCCTAAAAATAAAATAAGAAGCAAAAACAGACCACAAAAAAATAAAAATAGAAAGGAAAATAAAGGAAATGTCAACCAGCAAGATAAAGTCTTTTCCAGGGCAATAAACCCACTGCCTCCACCAATATGAAAACAGAGTGGGAAAGTGTAGCAAATGATGAATAACAGCTCTCAGGTGCCCGGCACCTCTTACTGGCCAGGCACTGCACAAGGCACTTCACACACAGTTCCTCTCATCTTAACAACAATCCTCCAAGGTGGATATTACAGCCCTCATCTTACAGATTAGAAAATAGGCTCAGAAAGGCTACCTTTCATGTACTTATTCATTCAAGAGAATCATTCCAGGCACTGTTCAGACTCAAAGTAGAATCTAGTACATTTATAAAAGCATTTACTGTGTCATCGATCTTATTCCCTAACCTTCAGACAGGCCATCTAAAATCTGTACTTAGAAAAATACACTCAGTTAATGCTAATGCAAATTACTAACCAGATACAACTCCGTGGCCTCCCGTTTCCTTCCAAGATGGATTTCATCCAAAACTGTATCAAGAATGTTTATAAACAATCTTTGCAAGAAACTCCATTATTTTTACTGCTGTAAATTGTCAACAACGATGCTTAC